CTCCAGATTTCGCACTCACGTGTGTGTGTAGTTGATACTCTTAACACACACCATAGTACATGTGCACTTACAAGAGTTCGACCGAATGTATTCAATGCTTTGTGATAGCATATATCTGTACCATTAGGACGTATCCTATCATGGTTCATTTCGCTATCGCTTTCTATTAATAACACATATATCCTCCTACCTACACACACATCCTTCTACCTACACATAGTTTCTTCTACCTACTCACGCATCCTTCTGACTACACGCATCCTTCTACCTACTCACAATTCCTTCTACCTACTCACACATCCTCCTACCTACTCACACATCCGTCTACCTTACTCACACTTCCTTCTACCTACTCACACATACTTCTACCTACTCACACATCCTTCTACCTTCTCACACGTCCTTCTACCTGCTCACATATCCTTCTACCTACTCACACACCCTTCTACCTACTCACACATCCTTCTACCTACTCACGGGCCTGCCTTGTTCCCCTGCGTGCTTGTCGGCAGGTGGCGTTGATGGTCTTTGTCGATGACTTGGCTGAGCGTTATCCCCATATCACCCACGCCCCCTGGAACGGCCTCACACTGGCTGACTTGGTCATGCCGTGCTTCCTGTTTATGGTGGGGTGTTCTATGGCGTTTAGCCTGAAGCAGTACATATACACAGACGCACAGATGCATGGGCCTACCCTGGCCAAGTACAACACGTACAGCTACTGGCGGAACTACGCCCTGCGGGTGAGTGTCTGGGTGGCGTGAGGGGGTGGCGTGGTGTGTGCGTATGTAAGGTATGTGTAGGTAAGCTTAGGGTTTAGGGGTTTAGGTAAGTTTTGTTGGGGGTTTTAGGGTTTAGGGGTTTTAGTTTTTTTTGAACCGTGTGATTTGCGGATTCTGCGTGGCTATATGCCTATCAGTGGCAATGTTTAGTGCATGTGCGATTAAACGCTATCTTAAACCTACAATCCCAAACCCTACCTTAGACTTTAAACCCTACCTCCCTAAAACCCTATAAGGCTGGGCAGATGCACTGTGTATAGACACTTCGGGTGAATAGTAGTTCTTTCATATTGTTGCACTGTGTTGGCGATTGCTGTTTTCTGTGGGCCATATCCGTAAACGTTAGATGTCTACTGGAGTGCAACTGTTCGGTACAACCCTGAACTCAGTATAGTGGCGCACTCAACGCGTAGTGCAGATATCGCCAAAGCGTTAACACCATGTCAGGGCTGGTACGCATGTAGTAGCGGAGGTATGTGGGTGGATATACAGAGCGTGTGTACGGTTTACAATAACTGGTGTAAACGTATTGACATTGCGACCCTATCTCCCATCCCCACGCCTGTGCCTGTACACCAGATAGACGGCACCAAGCATGCGCTGTATCGCGCGTTTAAACTGTTTGGCCTGGGATTGATACTGCAAGGGGGTGAGGAGTTCAGCGACAACTCCTACTACTACGGATGGAATCTGCGGACACTCAGGTGGGCCGTGTAGTGTGTAGTACAGGTGTGGCTGTGTTATATACACTGAGGGGAGTATTGTAGTGTGTAGTACAGGTGTGGCTGTGTTATATACACTGAAGGCAGTATTGTAGTGTGCAGTACAGGCGTGGCTGTGTTATATACACTGAAGGGAGTATTGTAGTGTGTAGTACAGGTGTGGTTGTGTTATACAAACTCTAGTGTTTAGTACAGGTGTGGTTGTGTTATATACACTGTAGGGAGTATTGTAGGGTGTGGTTGTTGGCAGTGGTCGGTGCTTGTGACGGTGTATGTGTTTATATTGGTTTTTATTAGTTTATAGTTTATAGTTTATATTAGGTTATATTAGTTTATAGTTCATAGTTTATATTAGTTTACATTAGATTATATTAATTTAAATTAGTTTGTATTGTTTTTTATTTGTTTATAGTTTATAGTCTATATTAGTTTATATTTGGTCATTTTAGTTTATATGAGTTTATTCTAACGCGGGGGTGACACTGCAGAGAATCAAAACCTTCCGCATTGTTCCATAGTACTGTGTGTTGTGAGGCTCTCACGTCACATGAAGAGCTTATGCAGCACGCACCACCTCACACACCCTGCTTCGGCAAAGGACACATAGGCAGTTGGTTATAACAACACAGATAGTGAGTGTGTGGATGCCAAACGTCACGTGACCATACATACGTGTTTGTCTACAGATACACACCTAAGGTATAAGGTACACATCCATGCGAGCTGGCTTTGTAGTTTTAAAGTGCTGTTTACGTTTGTATGTAGAGCATATGGGGGCCTATACACGCAGTTAGGTATATCTGCGATGCTTTGTTTGGTCGTGAAGTGTATGTTGTGTTCAGTTGTTTAGGGTTTAGGGTTTAAATGTAGTGTGATATTTAACGTCTGTTTGGGCTTTTGTTAGTTTACAGACGCATCAACAATAGCACCACCAACGATTCCAGTAGATTTAATCAAGTTTGTATAGATATTTTGTATATATAATTGTTTATATATAACTATATATTTATACCTATTTATATATAGCTATTTATGTATACCTATTTAAATAAAACTTATATATATAGCTATCTATATATTTAAATTATCTATACATACATTGGTAGGACTTGAAATAAATAAACCTTCAACACAAGTTATTTCTGTCAGACATAGCCTCGCAGAAGTCTGCGGAATGTCGCTTCAAGTTTTTTATTTCGAACGTGACCGAGGGATGTGGTTGTCATGGTAACTCAGCTACTGGGCGTCTGGTACGACGTGTTGTGCACGTTCAGGGTTTTAGGGTTGTTAGGACTACCTACAGCGCTATACGCCTTCGCCATTCACTGAATTATATAGTTTGGCCTGGATCACCATCCTCACTTAAGCGATACATATACAAAATAGAATACGATATATCAGGCACATTATAATATAACACAAACTTTTCAATAGAACACATACATTACAATATACCACACATTATAATATAACACATTTCTGTAGTATAATATACGATTCGTAATATAACACACACAATAGTATAAAACACACATCATAGTATAACACACATAGTAGTATATCACACACATATCAATATAACACACACACTATAATATATAACACACATAATATATAACACACATAGTAGTATATCACACACATATCAATATAACCGACACATTATAATATAAAACACACAATATAATATATAACACACATAATAATATATCACACACACATTAATATAATACACATTGTTCTGTATAACACACACATTACAATATATAGCACACATAGTAATATATCCCACAAACATTAATATAACATACGCACTGTACTATATAACACACATTATACATAGTAATATATCCCACACACACTAATATAACACACACACTGTACTATAACTCCCATAACCCACCTGGGGGTGCAGGTGGTGTGGCATCCTCAACCGTATCGCCTTTGCCTATCTGGTTGCTGTGCTGTTAGAGCTATGGCTACCATACACTGATCCTAGTGCCTTGCGTAGTCGTGCATCGAGTGTGGTGAGCAGAGCTCCGAGTTCTAATTATAGAACAACTCCGGCCAATGAAAACGCCCCGTTGCTCGACCACGGCGCCAGTGACAATGGTGCCGGAGAGGAGAGGAAGTTCGGGCGCCTAAAAATAGCAGCCAATCAGATGCGTGGCTCGCTTGGGCGGCACCTGGCGGTATTCCGCATGGGCGTGTGGCAGTGGGTAGGCGCAGTGGTGGCTGTTTGCGTCCACCTACTTCTCACCTACCTGACATGGGTACCTACCTGGGAGTCACACTACCGATGGGATGCCACAGGTGCTCTGGAATTCCTGGACGGGAGTAGGGATGCTCCAACGGTGACGATTGAGTGCGATGTGAGGGGCAGTACACTCTCACCCGAATGCAGTGCGCAGGTGGGTGTGAGGTAGATGGTGAGTGTTTGAGAGTGTATGTAGATGTTGAGTGTTTGGGAGTGCATGTAGATGTTGAGTGTGTGAGAGTGTATCTTCTGGATGGTAGGCGTGCAGGGGTAGTTCAGGTGGTGTATGGGGTATGTATCATAGGGGCTATGTCGTATCTTGTGCCTGTATGTTAGCATGCTATTCACATAGGCAGTGAAAGTGTGATACTGACAAAGACAGTGTTAGACTTGGCGCTAGTACTAGTACAGTCATAGTCCCTTATATATATATATATATATATAGCTGTAACACGATAAGCTCACGTTGTGCAACCCTTCGCAAACACTTTTCGTATGCGTAATGGTGCAGAACGACATACAACACAGCGAAAGGGCCGCGTCTTCAGAAGTTTCGTTGTTAGGAGTGACATATACTATCGGTGTTAACGTGTGCAATGCGTGGGAATATACCTACTTAGCTATCACCGTGCAAGTGATCCAGTATAACGTGTGGTGTCTCATGGATGTATACCTACCTCACTATCGCCGCACAGCTTATTGAGTATAGCGTGTGGTATGGTGCCTACTTAGCTATCACCGTACAGCTCACTCAATATACCGGGTTTGTTCCCGGGTACTTACCTGCAGGGTTTCTATGACAGGCTGCTGTTTGGTCAGGACCATCTGCACAACTGGAGGAGTGTAGGTAAGCCCATGAGCCATTATATCTGGAGGAGTGTAGGTAGGCCCATGAGCCATTATATCTGGATGGGTGTAGGTAGGGCCATGACTCATTACATCTACCCTCTTGTTCCGGCTCACGCAAAGAGAGAGATATATTGCACACGTGTGATGCGATGTGTCACCATGCGTGTTTGGGTTTAGTTGCTTTTTCATATTTCTAACCATGTCGTCCGATTATACCGATTCCCCAGCAATTCAACTGCACATGTGTATAGATGTGCATCCATTGGCCCTTTTCTAGCCCCTATTCACTGCACACAATCTGTATACGAAGTCACGTATGTGTATACGTATGTGTACATGTGTGTATCGGTGCAGTTTGATTGGTGGATACTATCGCTATTAATTCATACAGTCGATGTGCCATGTTCACTGAAGTTCCTCTGTAGTTGACCGTAGCACTTCTCAGAGTGAATTTATCGAGCTATTCTCAATCAAATGAAGCCATGCCATCCTTCGCCGTAGCCAGCCGAATCTTTATATATATATA